TTGTTTGGTGTGAGGGTGCCCGAGCCCTGGCCCAGGCTGCCCAGGGAGGCTGCGGAGGCTCCTGCTCTGCAGATCTTCCCAAGGYGCCTGGATGCGCCCGGGTGCCCCGTGCTCTGGGTGTCCCTGCTGGAGCAGGGGCTGCACTGGGGGATCCCTAGGGGTCCCTTCCAACCTCAGCCATGCTGGGATTCTGTGATTCTACCCATTAAAAGAGAAATGTCATGTCTGCTCATCCAATATTTTCACTTGGCTTGACCTTCACAAAGTGTGGGAGGGGAAGCAAATCTATTTCTATCTATTTTTGAATGTCATGCTAGAAAAGGATTTTATTATTCTTGRAATAAGATTTCAGCATAAAATTTACTCATCAAGAAGACATTTTTTTCTCAACACYGAGGAAATTTTGAATTCATTAAGGTGACACAATTTTTATTTCTGGTTCAGAATAAGAAAAAAATGCAATGTTTTACCCTGCTATCGTCTTTCTTTTTCCTCCACATCCATAAATACTCTCATGGACATGGCGCTGGTAAGTAAACCCATATTTCTGACCTGCTGCATGTCTAACATTTCTTCTTTAACAACTCCATGAGCATGGCAGGCTCTTCCTATTAACTACATTACATCATCATTATCAAAGACGAAAGGAAATTAATTTTGTTTTCCAAAGACTTGGCAATAAGTTGGTTCTTTACTTCATCAGACATCTGTTGTTTTTCTACGTATGTCATTTGTGAAGCAGAGTTTTCCTTATGACTTTATTCTCATAACAGTTTATCATGCAACGCTGTTTACCAGGGAAATAAAGTGGAGCAGTCATTTGCCCTGTAAAAGCGTRAAGCCAACTTTAAGCCAATATAATAATCTATATTTCAGTTTCAAATACTTTTCTGGTTTAAAATAAAACTCACTGAAGACTGTCATGCAAAAATACCTCGCATGGTCTTTGCCTGAAATTTATTACTACTGCTGCAGTACTTTGTTTTAACAGATGGGACTTTATCAGCAAATTATGTGGGCAGGCCACCAACTTCCCTCAGGAATGGAGGAGTGCTAGTATTTACTTAGGCTCTTATCTATACACTTAAAGCCATATTCTAACCACAAAACTCTATTTTCATTTATTGATACAAAAGACAAAATGCAGAGAATCTCCTGTTCTAAAACAGGCTGCATTCCTAACCTTTGTCTTCTCGGTGCGTGTGAGAGGTAGCTGCTGTCACACGCTTCACATGAGCCAACCTTTTTCTCTTTCCCTTTTTCAGGTTGAATGCACTTTGTAATTTGGTTTCATGTTCACCATATAGCTCCATTAATGTTGCATAAAAGAGGACAATTTAGATCACTTTTCAAAATATTTATTTTGCTAAATAATTGGTTGTGGTTTTGTTTGGAGTTTTTCCCTACTTAACTGCGTCGTAACTTTCCCTTGTAAATAGCCTTTCTAAAAGAGAATTTTGCTCCTGGCAAATGCTTCTAACCCTCACAAATGGTGCACGAGGCCCTGGGAGGTTTAGTCAATGTCCCTCAAGCAGAGCAGCCCCCCTTCTACTCCTGATCTAGTCCCTTTGTGCAACTGCAATAGCTTGGAAAGGCTCAAAGGGGACTGAGCATCTCTGCTTTTTTTTTATTTATTAGCACAAGGAGACTCATGTGTCACCTCCTTGCATGGGCCAAAGCTGGGGGGAGAGGCAGTTGGATAATTCTGTCTATCCGGATCCGCAGAGAAGACTACGGGAATGGCAGAGCTTGGAACTACTCTGAATCCACCAGGCAGCAGGAAGGGAGAGGATACAAAGGCGGGATAAGGCTGCTCACCCACTCAACCTGCTCTGCTGTGTCACCTGTATAGGATGCTGCTAAGTCAAGCTGAAGATCTGCATAAGATGCAAGCGAGGGAGAAAAGAAATAAATAAATTATAACCCAAGGGAAAAAAAAATACAGCAATAAGCACAGAGTGTCACTTCTAGCTGCCAGCAGCAATATCCCCTTACAGGACCCTTCCAAATCAAGATTTAATATATCAGAATGTATTTCTGAACATTATACTCAAATATACTAATTTCAGAGAAACTTTGCAAATGCACCTCCATTATCATGCAAAGCTCAGCTTGGCACTGCGTTCTGCAGGAAGCACTCATGCATTTTCCAGTTTTTAACTGAATAGTGCTTAACATCAGAGTTGGAAATAATAGGAATGATGCTAAAAACTTATTTTAAATGAGAAGAAAAATTGTAACAGAAATTCATGTAATTTTTTAAAGTGTTTCAATTAATTTTAAGCGTTTTGTTCCAATTAAARAAAATACCATTAAAATTAAGTCATGTATTGTTTGAAACAACCTTTTCCATATATTTTATTCACATATGTCCATTATAAAATCTAAGCCTGATCCTGCAAAAAATTCTATTAATCAAATCAAATTTGATAGATTTGAAATGAATAGAATAGGCTTTCCACATCCACGTCTACATCTGTACATCATTTTATTTTCTTTTGCAAAGATTCTTTTACTGTCTTTATAGATACCAAAAATATATATATATTCTTATGCGTAGTCATTAATAGAAACAATAAAATGGATCAAAAATCACAGAATATTGAAAATATATTGTACTGKTTTTTTTGTCATGAAACATATTCATACCAGCCCAATGCTTCTAAGACTTGCCATTCAGACAGTCAAGGCTCTTTGTCAGGAGAAAAATTCTTAGTCAACTGTCAACTATAAAGCTCCAAATTCAGCACAGAAGTAATCAACATCACTCTAAAATACAGTTGASCAAACTGTTTAATTACAGTTAAACACAATTTGTGTCAGTTCTCATTGCTGAGGGCTTGATCCCCCTATTCTTCAGCCACATACAAAGCCCTACTAAGCAACGAGACCTCCACTGTAGTCACTGGGTACTGGGTTATATCTTGATGGCCAAAGTCAGCTTCTTTTATGCACAGTATGAGCAACTCCTATTCCACAGGGAACTCTTCACAAAACATGGGGTTTCTTACTGCGAGAAAATGTATCAGCAGCTGGACCTCAGAGAATAACTAAAGAAAAAATTTGAAATTATGCTCACTGCAAAAGTTAAAGAATTTATAAAGCAATATTATGAAAAAAATGGTAATGGTTTTGGATCCAACAATTCGTATTTGCATTTCAAATACTCTGGAGTCTTCAGATGGGGATACAAACCAAATGTTGTGGTAGGGACCACTAGAAGGGTAAGGGTTATTTGAGAAACAATAGCTAGGATCATGCTTAGAGGCAGTAAAGAATTGCCAGAGCTGCAAGTGGTGTGAGAGCAGTTAGGCAAAGGCAAATTCCCAGATATTTTAACTGAATATTACATTCAAATTCTGACACACAAGGATAGGAACTCATGTGAAATATGGGTCTGGATTTAAATTTTAAGCTTCTTGCACTCAAGTTCAAGGTATGCTTCGGTCACAGCTCAATGCGGGTTTAGATCTCTACAGACTATCAGGTTTTTAAAGACACTTTTCATTTTCAGATGTGACAGTTAAAAAATCTTGGGCACAATAAAACATTTGACTTGAAGAAAAAGTTGAGCTATAAAMTGAAACCAAAGTATCGCAACTTGGGAGTGTCCCAGCTGCAGAAAACTCTTTATTTTAAAATACTTTGATTGATCCCCAATCTCTTCAAATTACACTCCAATAAGGACTGTGCGCCCTTCTGAAATCAGGCTATGCTTCAATTACTTCATCTGCGTATAAATTTCATTGTTATTTGAAACATATGCAAAATGCAGATACCAGTACACTCTAAAATTGATTAAATATCTACCTCATTAAAGTACAAAACCTACAGTATTAGAGGCCCTGCTAAAAGGGTTCACTTTGTATTAAATACACTAAGCCTTGCCAGTGAAATACTCTTCTGGATTGAACCCGTTTAGCATTGCAACATCTATATTTTAACAGATGAACACTTATACCACCAGTGCTCTTAGGAAGGTTTTCACCACATTTCTGCTGGAGGAATAAATAAAAAATGACTCTTGAAGCTGAGGCTTGCTCACCTAATTCACCTGGGCTATCCCAGTGAGGAAGGCAAACAGCAGCTGGCCTCAGATAAAATCCTGGAGTGAAAAATTTCATCCCATGAGCCAAAATTTTTTGAGAATGAAATCTGGATCGGAGCATTTTGGAACAYTTTATGAATTCAAAAGTGACTTACTTAAGGAAACAGGAAACCTGACAGGCTATTAGTCCATTCTTGGGGACTATTTATTACCTTCCAGACAATGATCTTCAATATTTAAATCTGAGGTTTGGAGAACCCTTGTGCCACTTCCCCGGAGGACTCACAGTCTGTTGGCTCTGTGTGCCTCTGCACTGTGATACTTAGAACATACAGAGGTTTACTGTGTTTGCTGCCCTTGACACAATACATCATGATGCATTCCTGGACAGCAGGAAAATGTCATACTTTGGTTCCAGGACCTTATGAGGGAAAAAAAAAAAAAAAAAAAAAAAAAAAGGACAACGACAATTTTAAAATAACATTAAAGAGCTTATAAGAACACATAAAAAACTGTCAGGAAAGGGGCAGGTATACTCAGTCCCATCTCGCTAAAGAAGTGAACCAGGTGAGTAGCATTCAGGCACTCTATGGATGGATGGTTTATTTTTGTTTAAGTGAGGGGCTCACAGCACAGCCCCTGCTGAGCAACTTGACAGACCATGGGGTGCCGGGACAGCAGGGAAGCCCCCAGGCATCCCACCAGAATCATCCCAGGAAAAGGCTGTTTGGGTGGGTGCTGCTGCATGGCTCTGCTCCCAGGGCCCTTGGTTCAGAGGGAGGCTGAGAGGGCACCACAAGGCACATGGGCTGCTGCAGCGGTTGCACTCCACATTCAGTCATAGAGTTCACCCCTAGCACCACACACACCACAGCAGGCAAGTCCAGGAGTCTCACAAGAAAAACAGGGGTCATGATCCTGCAGTTTCCACCATGCAAGCAATTCCTCATGGCAACAGTTCATCTCTTGCATGCTCCTGAGTTGCTGCCTGGAAAGAAGGAGCAGGTTGCTGGCTGGCTGAACACTTATGGTGAGCAATACACAGCCCCACAGGTCATTGGCAGAGCACCCTTCCAATTGAAAGGTCTTAAAGTGCCTTTCAGCCCTAATTTTCAGTAGATTCAGGAAGAAACAGGGCAGCTCCATATTGCTGCAGCTCAAAGCAAAGCCTGAAAGGTATAAACCAGCCCTTTGATTAAGCAAGGAGTTTGGATGGGTGCTCAGTCAACAAGATGACATAGAGAATTGCACCGTATTTAAATCAACACCTCAAAAAATACTCAAATATGCGATTACTTTTAAAGATGTATGTTCTTCATGAACTTGGTGGGGTTAAATATGTCCTTAATGATAAGAACATGCTTAACTATTTCACAAATGACTAACAAGTTCTTCTGAATGACGACCTTCATGARTGTTTCATTACCCAGACAAAAGGATCGGTCACTTTTATTTACAAGGGAAGACAGATGAGTCGTTTTGCAGCATTTCAAGTATTTAATAGAAACCCAGTTTCCCGAACAGCGCCAAATTCACAAGGACATCCCTGCTACATTACAGCACATCTTTCTTGCCAAGCTCTTTTGTGTAAGTGAGGTGCAGGGCTGTGCAAAAAGCCACAGGGACACAATGTAAACGTGCATTCTTGAGACACCACTGGTAAACCTGGCATATGGTTGGTTTTGCAAAAAATACTGCTGTGAACAATYTGTTGTCAGTGAATCTGAGCCTGACAAACCAGCCCCTTTAGGCTTGTTCAGGAAAAAACAATTAGGAATGCTTCACTGGAAATAAGGATGAAATGCAGGCTTCAAAAGCATCACTTCCACTCATGACATCCAAAACTATGTTAGAATAACATTACTAATACAATGCCAAGACTACAAAAGTTAGAAAATGAAAGAATTAAGGTTGCTTGTACTAACTTCATTCAGCCCCTTCCTGAGAACACTTCATGATAAGTGTTTTCATTACATGATCATATGTAGCTTTGAATGATCATCATGATCATTTTTTTCCCCTGTAAATCACTGCCTCATTCACTGTGAGCTAAGGAAGAGCTCCCAGGATGAACCAGGGTTCTCTTGGACATAGTTTTCTGTAGGAACTCTCATTCAAAAAACAACCAGGTATTCAACAAGTCTTTCTATCCTATCATTCAACATGTAGCCCCAGGCAGTATCTAACTTGCGACATTTAAACTGTGCATTTAGTTCAAAATTATTCACTTCCTCCCAGGTATTTCTGTAGTMCTACTGGCCTAGTGTCTAAGTGTTTCACAAATATGAAAAAGTTTCTCTTCAAAACAGATGTGTGACACTAAGACTAGCAGCTTCTACATAGATTGTGTTCCGTGTCCTGCCACTGCCACTTTCTTCTCAGCCATTTAAAATTACCTCAGGTGTTTCCTCCCTTTATTTGGCCTGCCTATGTACTTCAGAGTGAACAGGCAAACAATGAAAAGTAATTTTGATAAAACTGAATTTGCTCACTATGGATGCAAGCTTTGGAGTATTTAGCTGCCAAACTCTAACAAGTCTCTTCTAAACATCTGTGAAATAAAATCTTTTAAGAGATTTAAAGTTTGGCCAGATTTGGGGAAAATTTTATAGGGATGCCAAGAGATAAATCTCTAACAACTTCCACTTCTAGGTCAGATTCTAAGTGTTCATCCAAAGCATATTTTTWAAATATTTTCAATCCGAGCAACAAGAAGAATGCATTCTTCCCTAAACTCAGAAACAGCATGAATGTTTTAGATGAAAATTTCCTTCCAAATAGCCAGAGACTGACAAAGACACAAACAACTAGTAACACGGTGTTATAATGCAAACTTCCAGATAACACCATAGATATAATTAATGTAAAGTTAGAATCACTGGGAAGTACGCAGAGGTATCTTGCAGGTTTATTTTTAACAATACCAGAATTAAAAGATTTAGTGGCTGCATTTTTTTTAATTACTTCATAAAAGGCCAATATGCAAGAGTTGAGCTACATGGAGAACCCACAAGGTGCCAGCTGATGGCTCTGGGATATCAGGTTAAATGGCAGAAAATAAGCAGCTGCACTGCACTGCAGTTGGGAATTTATGCTTTACCTTTAGGAGAGTCTCTTTGAATGTAGGATCTGTAGGATAAAAGGACCAAAGCTCACAGCCCCCATAAAGAGGAGAAACAGTGGCACCTAGATATGTCATCTTACTTTAAGTTATAACTCTGCATTCATGCACTAAGAGAACAGTTGGCACTTTCTGAGGTCAATGCAGCTGCATTGGTATGAAATTGGTATATTGGAAAGACAACCTAGGCTTTCAATCTTCCTCATCTGGAGCACAATCTTGGAAAACATACCATGCTAAATATTTCTCTCTCAAATTAGTGTCTTTGAATGGACCCTCAGCTGAGATCAATTGGAATAAGTCCACAAAGTCCACGTCAGTTTATACTTACTGAGGTTATGACCACAGTATGCTTGAGCTAAATTTTCCTCAAAATAAATAGGAAGGGACCTACCAGACTATTCTTTATGGGTGTCCTTGGCTTTTGAATTCATTTCCTTTCACTTTGGCCCACCAGAATCTGCATTTCTTAGTCTCCTTTGCATGCTATAAAGCTCATCTTTTATCAGTCAACTGGACAAACCATAGTATATTTTTACACAGAATCACTTTTTGGATAACTAAGAACATTTGTACCAAAGTGAATGGTGCTCTACTAATTAAAACCAGTTAAGAAGTTGGAACAGATATCAGTRGAAATATACATTTAGAGAATTGGCTTTTTATGAGGATATCAATTTAGATTAAATCAATAAAAATGTAAGAGTTAAGTTTATTGAATTTAAGGGTAAATAATATGGACAAGTAGGCTACAGATCATTAGACCTTACAATGACTCCAGGAATGGAGGCTTTAAGAACAACATTATGTAACATGCAACTTGTGATATAGTTGCAAAAATTGGCAACCTTGCATCTCCTCTGGGTTTCACCAAGAGTCCTGCAGCCTTTTTACCTTTGCAAAAGTTTTATTAAAAAGGAAGGCAAAATAATCTAATCACAGGGCACTGAATCCAGATCTCAAAGCCCTACTCTCATTATTTCGTTTCATGTTTAATTTTTTTGGCCCATATAAGTTTCTCTTCCCATTTTAGCACCCTAARCTAATTAAACCACTGCTAGGGGTAAACTAATGTCTGATCATTTTGGCAGGAATCATTTACACACATGAGAAAAGGATATTAAGTAATAAAGGGCATAAATATGATACAGTTCGGATTTTTGGAGGAAAAAAGGGGGGGCGAGCTTAATATAAGATTACAGTACACAACAGAACTGGGCTCTATCAGCTCCTTAGAGGTTGGAAGTCCCTAGTGGTGGCTAACTGACCAGGAAAAGAGAAGGGAATATCCGTGCACAGCTTTGTCATCCATAATATTAGGGGTTCTCAACAGGCTGGCATGGTCTTATTAAATGCAGGCATAGGCCAGAAAAGGGGAAAGGTAGTTAGTGCAGACAGCTGCTTTACACTTCCAGGTGTAAAACTTCTGTGGAGCATCAATGAGGTTTGACAACCACTTCCTGACAGCAGGTATTAAATTCATTTCTCCAGGAAACTTCAAGGAAAGGAAACGACACCACAACACTTTTCCTGCCCTTTTCCAACTATTTTTGAGTACTTCAGTCTTCATTCCCAATTTTCTGGGCAGTAGTGCAAATATAAAGGCCCAAAAGCATTGAACAATCCAGAAAAATACAAGAAACTTATTAAAGCTGATGGTAAAATAGTTTTTTTCTCTTCTTTCCTTGAAAATGTCAAGAAAATGTAGTCCTTTCTATCATATTTCCAGCAGAAAATAATGCCTTTCAATCGTTATACCTCTGAATAAAACAAAGTTAAAAATTTTCAAGATAAAACGTAACTATTTGAAGATTTACTTAATTTCCACTAAAGTACATATTTACCACATACAAAAACAAAAAAAGAAAAAAAAAGGAAAAAGTTTCATCAAATAAGACTCAATAGGAAATTTATAACTCCCTTCAATTTAAAAGCTACATCTGGGTGCAGCCTTTTCTGTGTCCTCAGTATCCTTTTTGGAGTCAGCCCTTGCGAGCCACATAGAGCAGCCCCAGAGCAGCCTCTGCCCCTGCAAGACAGGCGCTGGGCCAGGAGGACATGGGAAGGCTGCTTCACATCAAAGGTTGTGATAATTCTCTAAGACTCTGTGGTTTTATTAGTGGAATTTCTGTCCACTGGCTTATGAGGGATATTCCTGAGTGTGACTCCTCTACCTAGTATGTATGCCATGGGAAGCATTGATGCTTTAGGATAGAGGCATGCAAAAGAAAATACAAAGACTATTCTAAGGGCAAAGCAAGACCAAAAAAAAAAAAAAAAAAAAAAAAGCAGACAAAAAGAAAAAAAAAAAAAAAAAAAAAAGGCAGACAAAGCAGTGACTTTAAGTGTGCTTCTCATTAACTCAACAATCCTTTCTGAAAATAAATTATTTTGTGTGTTGTTAGAAATGAGCCTTTGTGGGGAGTACTACAGTTGAGAAACACACTGATAGTGAAGGCAAAGGCTGTTACCCAAACATATAAATCACTAAATGTTACAATGTGACTTTTCAATTTGTTTTTTCTCTTTTAAATTGACTTTGCAATCCAATTAATTTGTTTTTAGCTTATAAATCAACCAAAGCAAGTTCAAGATTCCTCCCTTTCTTCCGCCTTGGCTGTTTTATCCAGCAATAAGGTCCCACACCCATGGCCACACATGGGGCAGGCATTTACATCACAAGGCCCCAATAGTGAACTGTGGAAAATAGTCTTTCAGCAGCAGGAGCAGCATCTGGCTTCTTGGCATGCACCACATACAGTTGTGCTGACAGATCTGGCACTGCCTTCTAAAGCGTCATATGGTCAGGCCGCTAACGCGATGTCCCTCCCTGCTTGTCCTCCTCCATGTCATTTTTCTTGTTTGAC